TGCGCGTCTTCCGCATCCTCAAGCTGGCGCGCCACTCCACCGGGCTGCGCGCCTTCGGCTTCACGCTGCGCCAGTGCTACCAGCAGGTGGGCTGCCTGCTGCTCTTCATCGTCATGGGCATCTCTGCCTTCGCCGCCGCCGTCTACTCTGTGGAGCACGACGTGCCTGGCACCAACTTCACCAGCGTCCTCCAGGCCTGGTGGTGGGCGGCGGTGAGTACCGTGGTTTCCGTCCTGGCCCTGGTCCTGGTCCTCCTCCTCCCTCCCCTTGGTCCTTCGCCTTCAGGTCTCCGGGTCCCTCCCCGCCCCAGCAGATCAATGCTCTCTCTACCCCAGCTCAGCCGTCAGCCAACAAAATGGGGCTCGAGATTGAGGAGTTGGAAAGAGAGACACTGTAGGTGAACAAGTAACCAATACCGACTCGGTCCTAAGGATCCTCAAATCCAAATGCAGTCTGTAAAATGCTCCACAGGCAGCTTTGAAGGCACATTTACTGCTCGTGGGTGTGAGCTGCTTCTTTACCATCATTGTTAATAACCACTTGTTTAAAATTTTAAAAATTATGGAACACAACATGTCCTAAATGGTTTCTACACCTTACTTAGCATCACATCCAGGTGAGGTAGTTATCACCACTTTTTCCTAAACAAAGGACAGACAGGAAGAGGCTTCCATTTTGGAAGGAAGTTGTAGATTTATGCAGGGAAGGAGGTGAGATTTGGCTGAACAGTGTTGACCTGAACTGAGATCCCACTGCCTCTGCTTCGAGTTAAATCCAAACGCACAAAGAAACATCTAAAACTGAAACTAGGTCAACTTCTCCACTGTTCTTTCACAACCAGAGAGGATTGTCTAATTTTACAGCAAAAGGAAATGTGGTACAAGAGTCTGAGATAAACACACAGCTAACAGTGGCAGAGCCAAGAGTAAAATGCAGATCTACCCAACTCCAGATCCATGCCCTTTGCTCTTCAGCGCTTTCTTTTTCGAGCTCTGGTTTTGCGCGTGCCTTGCCTAGTTTGCACATCTACTTTATGAGTTTCTTTGGTCTCTCTGGATTTGCCTTTTCAGAATAACTGATGCCATTTACTTAAATGCAGGTATTTCTCGTATGCTAGCTATATCCCTGCCAATAAATGCTAGCAAGGTCTTTTCAGATCAACAAATAAACGGGCACACATCGGAAAGAAGGAGATGTGTTCTATCCTAATTTTTTAGAAGTGGGTTGAAATGCCTTTCAAGACATAAGCAAAGCACACTCCACCATCCCTGCCCTCCATCTCTGCATCTCTAGAAGGGGAGACTGATGCGCAGGCCTCTACTGATCAGGGAGTGCTCCCTCGAAAGCAGAGGCCTACGTGCCCTGGGACTTGGGAGCTTTCTTCAATGCAGGATGACATTGTGCCCTTCTGAAAAGCCAGCCAAATAGCCCTCTTCAGATCATATTCCAAGTGATGAAAGGCCATCCCCACAGATGGACCACGAGCACAGATGGAGCTCATGGAGGATGATTTGACCCCAGAAAATGACATTTACTTTGGAGATGACTAAGCCAGGAAGGCAAAGCAACAAAAGTACATGTTGATGATATAATGAAAAATTCAGATTTTCATTCATCCAAATATCATAAAGGGCTAGACAGGGTAGGCCTTGGGCCTAGGGAACTTTTTTATATTAGTTTTTACCCACAATACTTTTTTAACCTTTTGTACATTAATATAGACCTCTGCATTAGAATTGCATTAACATTGGATTTTTATTTTTAAAATATTTCCTGAAGTGATTGTCTATTGATCTCTTTAATGAACTGTGTAATGTGCAGTGAAACTTAAGACTTTCAAATTATTCCCTATTTATGTTAACTGAAATAATTTTACTATAGATCAATGTTTTCTATAACTTTACCACAAAAGTTGAATACTATTCAGTTGTTATCTATAATATTGTGAAGTGGCTGTTTTGTTTCATTTCATTTTGGTGCCATTATCCTGACAATATTCTCAAAGACCAAATTTTGCACATTTCAGTCTTCCCATTTCCCAAATTTGACCCTTACTCGTGACTTTTGTTCATTTGATTCTGAGATTTATACCTGTATAAATTATAATGAATTAGATCATTGATAATGTATTATTCTCTAAGTGAATCTACGAACACAGTAGGAGTCATTTCTCTTATGCGTCCTATGACAGCTGTGTTCCCCAGAACTGTTGTTATTAATCTGGATGCCTTGCATGGTATGGTGGGGATTATTCTCAGCAAGGAGGGAAGAAGAGCATGAAGGTGATAGAGACAAAATATCTCAGTGCTAATATGTAGATGCAAAGTAATATTATCCAGAATATTAGTGCAAATTTCTCATATAACCCACAAAAATCCTTTCCACCTTATTCATTGGAGTGACTCCAATGTGCCAACTACTATTTAAGTACTAAGGGTACAGAATGATAGAAAAAAATGGTAAAGATCTTTCCATCATGGAGCTTAACACCATAGTGGAGAAAAACAGATACTAAATAATTTCAGATACTGGTATGCCTTGTGTAGGATACATAATACGATAGTGATTTGGATGGTATAAGCTCTTTAAGGGTATAGTCAGAGAAACCCTCTTGGAGAGGACAACATTGAGACAAAATTTCAATGAGGAGAACAAACTCACCTAGATACCCATGAAAACCCATGACGAAATACAAATGAGCATCTGAGACATGGAATCCTAAAAACAACTCTGGATCCAGAGGTCTCCCCGTGTTTTCTTGATTATTCCTCCTGTAATTTAAAATGTTTTGAAAATAAACCCAGGATGAATGTATATTTATTTATAAATAATTTAGAATGTATTTATTGCCACATTAGCAGTGTATCAAAAACTACCCCAAAGCGTAGTGGCTTGAAACATCATGCATGAGAAGCTTAGTCAAGTCTGAAGTGCAAACTGCTTGCCTTTCGATGTCACTCATTCTCGTGCCTGATGTTCAGCTGGACGACAAATAGAGTCGGGGGAGGCAGCACGTCCCTCACCTTCTAACAGGCCTGCATCTATGGCTTTGGCAAAGGGAAAGAGGCACCATCCAGGCCCAGTCGTGCAAGTGTTAGGTTGCTTCTGCTCATACTTGCACGACCCATAGCAAGTCACAAGGCCACCCTCAGACAGGGAAACAGGGGAGGTTGGCCACCTATGATAGGAAAAGCACTGTGAAATCAACTGGCGAACAGCTCAACTTCAGGAAGATACAAAAAATCAAGTCCAACAATACAGTCACTCTACTGCGGTACTGCATTACTGCTCAAATACACTGTACTCCTCAGAAAACATATACTCACAAACTGACAATTTCAAGATGAAATAAAAATGTGACTGCTATTTTTCGTGCCCTAGTCTAGAGCTATTTGCCTTGTGGAATCCTCACCCCACATGAGACACAGATTCTTGAATCCATTCTATCTATTTTTGTACTTTTTGAATAACCTAAATCTGACTTGCTTGTAATAATCTTCCCTCTTTCTATGCAAGGATCCCTCCTCTGTAACTGTAATTGAAACAGAAGTGATTCCTTTTCTGCAGGAGGAAAAGACTATGAAAGATAGGAAAGTTTCAACTGTTCTCTCATGGGAGAGCTTCGTGTATGCAGATTGACAGGCCATGCCTGGAGCAGCTCCAGCCGTTTGGGAGCTCCCAGGGTCGTCTGGGAGTGGGAAATGCATGGTACAACTCAATAAGATCAGTTAGCTCTGCGATAAAGCTGTAACCATTGCCCTCCTGTGCCAGTGTTTTTAAGTAGACAAGGAAAACTGGACAGACAACAAGCTGTTACCTTCTGAGCCTTCCAGAACAAGTTAAAGTTGTAGAAACCGAATAGGAAACTATGGCATGAGCTCATTACTTCAGAAAGTCTCCAAAAAGAGTATTTATCTCCAGCTGAGAGTTCAGGTAATTGTGCCCCTGAGACCTTGCTCCCATCTTTGTTTTCCTACAGTAGGTTACCATTTCCTTGCTAAAAGCTGGCACAAGATCACTGAAATTTATTTTCATTGATTGCTTAGCTGGCAGAGATCCATTTAAAAGGTGAACTAGTCAGGTTACAGTAATGAAAACACAAAGTTAAGGTGGGTTTTTGAAATGGAGAAATACGTACGTAGGTATTGGAAATCTGAAAGAGCAAAAATAACAACAGGCCATAGCTATTGGCTTTAGGTTGGGAAAACAAAGGGCAAAAGGTTATATTACCAGAACTTCAGAGTACAGAGTAGGGGTCACTACATATAGAGTCTGCCAAAAAAATGTGTACACCTTTTAGGAAAAGATAAACTTGTATAAATATTCTAATACTAAGTTTATTGGAACATAAGGATTTTTTTTTTTTTTGGCAGACTCTGGAGTTGTTGTAGAGATTTAGAAGAAGCAACCATGAACTTGCTGCTAGGAGTGCTGAAAAATAGTGGAGCCATAGCTGTGTGCTGCTACGGAATGATGGTAAAAACCAGAAACCACCACTGAGACCCTTAACGCAACAGATAAGGGCATCTGGAAAACATATGTGTAGACTCCCAGCTTCAGAATTACAGAACTATGTCAGGCTTGGGCCTGAGATAACGCCTAGTACAGAAGGTGTTAAAGTTCCCCTAGTTCTTTAGGAAACAGCACAGGTGTTATAAATGAGGAAAAGATGTAAGTCTTAAGTAAACACCTACAGCTTGTATTTTGTCCTGATTTTGGAGTGGTCTCCTTTTAGATCTTTAAAGTATGCTCTTCCGGTTGTCTGGCTTCATTGGAACATGAGAGAGCTGACGGGACAGGGAGAGGGACCAGATAAGCAGAGAATGCAGGGGACCTCACTGTTGTGAGGCTTTTTGTGGCTAGATTTAGATCCACTTGTTGCATTTGTTGTTTTATTGTAGTTTATCCTACCTCTTCCTCATTGTGCCACTTAAAGACTTATACAGGTTAGAACAATAATACATGCATGAGAATTGTTCTCTTCAAGGTGGCCGCCTATGACCTAATTCTTACTGTGCTTTACTACTCAAACCCTTCTTTGAATTACACTGAGGAATTACCTCCAGAGCCTGTGACATGTCTATCTTTTTCTTTGCAATAGTTCTAAGTATTTACCTTTCTGAGGTTGCATTCAGTATTGTAAAGTAGTCAAAATACACTTGATTTCAAGACCTAGACTTACCCTCCACGGTGGGAATGGCCATTTGCATCAACGTCTTATCAGTGAATCTTTTGTGTAAATTATTATTTTTTCTTTATTTTTGGAATTGGGGATGGAACTTTTAGGACCTTGCACTTGAGAGGCAAGTGGCGGCACCACTGAGCTAAAGCCCCTGCCCTTTTGTGCAAACTTTAATTCAAAAGGGGATTCCAAAAATATTTTTTGAAACAGGGGCATGAATAAGTACCGATGTTCCTCATTTAACAGCCTACCTCTTTTACGATTGCTTAGACTCACAACCGGGACATGCTATCTGGACTTAGGACCTGTATTCAGACTTCACAGGGAAGTGAGCGACAGTGCCATAGTTTTTGCTGATTGTGCTGTATAGCACAGCACTGACGCTTCATTTTCTGTTATACATTATAGAACTGTGTGGAAGTCACGCAAATAAGAGTGAAGTCATTGAGCTGGAGTTTCCTTTGACCATTTCTTTGTCTGAATATTGTCATGTACAGACAGTATTACATACAATTCCTGATTCACCAACCAGCTCATTTTAACGATCTCATCGCAGGATCTGAACTCAGTCATTAATCAAAGGATGTCTGTGCAGCCTTTGAAACTGACTTCCTTGAGCGGTAATGTACACTGAGGATTATAGTAACTTTAGGCAAACGTCATTCTTTACAATCTCCAATACCATGGCAAAACTAGAGGTATATTGATTATTCAAAAATTAATTTTGTTCCCTGGGATAATACTTCCTAGACTTATAGATTACGGGGTGCTGAGATGTTGTCCCTCCATTACTCTTTGTGGAGGAAATAAACAGTCCTTGGATGAGAAATCCAAGTATGGTCATTCTGAGGTTTTGGAGGAAAATTTAATTCCTGTCCTCATCATGTTTGGTCAAGATTGGCTGCTGAGTGGGGGAGTTGTTGGGAAAAGGCCACGTTTTAGCTTTTGAGAACCAAAGCTAAGGAAAATATGTTAAGTTGTCAGCGAAATGGTAAGGTTCCAGTTTACAAAGGGACAGAGCCAGGAAGTCTTTCTGGAAACTGAGATGGACTGCAGATATCTTGGTCACATTTCCAAGTGCCACTCCTGCTAACATGAGAACTAACTCTGAAGTCACTTGGGTCCTTTGGGGCCTTCCGCATTTAGTGCCTATTTAGGGAAAATAGTTTGGCCTCTACAACGTGGAGAAAAATTTCCACAAAACCAAGGAAATCTAAGTTCCTTCAAGAGCCAAGGAGCAAGAAAGAGATCATTTACTGAATCAAATTATCCACAGACAACACATAAATTAACTGCACATTTTGAACTAGTTCATGGAGACCTGGCATACACAGCCTCCTAATTTAAGAGGTCTTTTCTCTAAATTTAGAGATCCAAGATATACAAAAACATGTAGGCCATATTATGTACATCAAATATTTACTCTTCTTAAGCCATTTCTCTTTATTTTTTTTCAATTCTCTTTACTTTTGACTTTTCAAAGTTCAACCAGTCTGTGCTCTCGGGCACACACACACAGAAATTGGGGTTACAGGTAAAACAAAGCCAGCATGGGGCTCAAGCAAAGGTTTAAAATAATCACTTCGTGTTAATTGTTTTTTTCCTTCCACTCTTCCTCCCATCCTCTACACCCTGGACCCTTGTGTGGCTGGCTTCCTACAAAGCCTCTTTCCCTTGGACTTTCTCAAATGTTTCAGTTCTAAAACTGCCACACACCCTCTACTTCCAAACTCCTAGGCCTTCTCCTGGGAACAGCAGCTGACGAGATGGCTGTATGAAGTGTGACTGACGATTTTCAGGACGGATGAACTGCTCAGCACCTGCTCACACACCTGGCCCGAGACCTGACCCAGGTCCCTTGACTGTTGGTGTGGCCAGGGACAGTGCACGTGTGCAAGCAGGCACTGAGATTCTTCATTGCCTCTCATTCCCCTTTTGCCTAGAAGTTGGGAGAAGCAAATTCTGTACCAGAGCCACCAGCCTCCCCCTCTCCACTCCAAGGACATTTAGCAGAAGTCAGGGAGGAGCCTGTTTCCACAGCCTGTGGATCTCATAACCATAACGTGCACAAAGTTCTTTGTAAATGTCGGGTTTTGCCTCCCTTCAGCTGCCACCAGCTTTCAGATGGGGTCTCCTGCGTTTGCTTCCAGATGTATGCACTAACATTACTGCTCACACACACTGTGCCAGGCTCGTCTTCAATTCTTGCAAATGATCTTGTTGGATAGATACTATTATCCCCCTATGTCAAAAGAAACTGAGCCGGAAAGAATACAGAGGACATGCCCACTCCACACAGCTGGGCAGTAGATTTAGACACCGGAAGTTCAGTGTGGTGCCTGTTTCCTTAACCTCTTTTCCACCATCCTGCCGCCTCCATGGTTGTTTGTATTCTCTTGCTGTGGGCAAAGGTAGCCGCTCTCTTAGTGTCTCTCTCACCATCGATAGTACAGTGAGGCCTGATGTCTCACCTGTCCCCCAGAGAGCCACATCCTTCCCTTTTTATGAGCTGGATGGAGCTGTGGTTCTTATCACTGTCTCCAGATTTGCCCAGCTGGCTCATTTCTCCATTTCATTCTAATCAGTCAACTAGACTTGTAAGTTCAAATGAATCCTTGCATCATCAAAACAAAACATGTTTATATTTCGAAGCTAAAAGCTACCTTAGTATGGTCAACAGGTGACTTCATATGATTACTGCCATCTGCTGGAAAATTATGATGACGATGACGCAAATCCATGGAACAGTGAGCACCCCCTAGAGTTGTGCAAAGTATTTGCACTGTAAACAGCAGGCTTAGAGACTTCAAGTAACTGAGACCCAGTACCTGAAGACCAAAGAAAGTGTGTGAGGCATTATTTTTTTTTAAAGTCCCCAGGGGATTTTTTCCATAATTTTCTATAGCTACACTAACTGATAACTAGGTCCATGAGTATCTGCATTTCCAGAAGCTTGTTAACCTAAATAAATTTCTGATTAGTGGAATTTAAAGCAGTATAACAAGAACAACGATAAGAATTTCATGAAGGGTGACCATATACTGGAAGACTTCACTGGCCAAAAAGTCCCCTCATACAATAGTGAGAGTGTATTTCTCCAAACATTGGCAATTAAAACATCTTCATGTAAAAGATTACAGTTAAAGTGTTTCTTGTTTTTTTGCTGTACTGGGGATTGAACTCAGGACCTTGAGCTTGCAAGGCAGGTGCTGTGCCACTGAGCTAAATCACCAGCCCTTCTGGTACAATGTTGAGTGCTTTGTATGTTTTTTAATTTAGTCTCCACTAGAATCCTGAGAGTTAGCTGGTGTTCTTTTATTTTAGATGAAGAAACTAAGGCTTAAAGAGTGTGAATGTTTCACCCTTGGTCTCTCAGCTCAGAAGGGTCAGACTTGGGCCTTAAACCTTGGATTCACAGTGTCAGGGCCCCAGCCCTTCCTAGTGCACACGTGATCCAGGCCAGCCCTAGGAATCCCTACACTGGCCCCAACTCAGGGAGATAGGGAAACAAAGACCAATATTTACTGAGCACATTTTATACCAGGAACACAATGTATGTTTTCTTAACTACTCTTTAGAACAAGCCTTTAAAGTAGCTATTATTTTCCCTATCTAGTATGTAAAAACAGTTATAAGTTAGAGTTGGGATTTAAACCAAAGTCTTTCAGCTACACACTTGTATTCTCTCCAGGGCACAGTCCCTGCAGGCAGACTCCCATTCCTCCTTGGTGCAAGCGTTATACTCCTCCCACCTATCACCCCATGCATCCTCAGAGACACAGAGGACCCTTCCCTGTGTGTGTCTCTTGCTTCCTCCTCCCTCACAGTGCTAATGATCCCATCCTGCTTTGCTCCACAGGTGAGCATCTCCACGGTGGGCTATGGAGACATGTACCCGGAAACACACCTAGGCAGGCTCTTGGCCTTTCTCTGCATTGCTTTTGGTATTATTCTCAATGGGATGCCGATTTCCATCCTCTACAACAAGTTCTCGGATTACTACAGTAAGCTCAAAGCTTATGAGTACACAGCCATACGCAGAGAGAGGGGAAGAGTGAACTTCATGCAGAGAGCCAGAAAGAAGATGGTTGAGTGTTTGGCCAGAAGCCATGCACAGCCCATCCCGACCCAAGAGAACTCATAGTTCAAAAGACACTTGCTTGGTAGATCCCATGTACTTCCAGGCTTCGGTGCTTCATTGCTTCTCCTCCTCTTCCTCCTCTTCCTTCACAATTGATCCCAAAAGGACATGAAGCACACATATGCAAAAGGCATTCAGTTCACAGATCTCTACCTCTAAAAATGCTCCTTTTGGTCCAAATTCAGAAAGCTTCATATTGCTTTTAAACTGTACTGTGTGAAAATCTCACCAATGATACCAATACTGAAGACAACTTGAAAAGAGCAGTATCTTGGATTTCTCTGTTAGCTTCTCCTGGCATCTAGCTCGATACATATTTTTGAACTTCAGTTGACTTGAGAAGATTTTCCTTAGTTTAAAGAAAAGTCTTAATTTTTTTGAAGAGATGGAGTGTTGCAACAACAGCTATACGAGCTTTGGAGTCAGATCAGCCTCACAGTCAGAATCCCAGATCTACCAGCTGTATGGTTTGAGGAAAGTCACTGTAACCCAGGCCTCTGTTTCTTCAATTGTGCAATGTAGATAGATAATCACACATACTTTTGTGTGTAGATGGGAGGTATTATTTGTAAATTCTCAATAAATGAGAGTTGTGAAAATTGCTCACATGGGTAGTCGATTCTCTAGACTGGTGGTTCTTAACCAAAGGCAGTTTTGCTCCCAGCTGGGACATTTGGCAATGCCTAGAGAAGTTTTTGATTCTTACTACTGTGAAGGAGGATGGGGGTGCTTCTGAACTCCAGGAGGTAAAGGCCAAACATCCCAGGGTACATAGGATATCCACACACACACCAAATTACTCAATTCAAAATGTCCATAATGCTGAAGTTGAGAAACTTTGGTCTAGACTTAACCCCATTGACCTACAAGACATGCCCCGTATGTTAATTCCCTCCTTTGAGATGAACCCCACTGTCCTCACTTTTCAGGCTCCATTTCCCCACCTTTTTCAAAAAAGAGGGGGAAAAATCCAAACCTGTCTTGTGAGCAATTGCTCTAAGCCCCGAACAAAGGGACTCCACCCTGTGCTGTCCTTGAGTTGAGAAACCAGTGCCCAGAGATTGTTGGTCCCCCCCCCTACTTTTCTTTCTAATTCCTTTCTCCTTCCTCAGGGCTATTGGAAATTAGAATCTTGAAATTAAAGGCTCATCTGAACTGAGCACACACATTGTTCTGCAACTGGAGCTTGGAAGGCTGACTAGAGGCACACCCGTGTTGTAAATAAGAGTAATCACTGCATGTTTTCAATGAGACACACTGCAGAGTGTATAGTGTACAGCTTCACTTGTTGCTAAGTATGTCCTAAATAAGATGCTATGTTATTTATTTAGGAAGAAAGAAGCTTAGAGAAGTTATCTGGCTATGTTCACAGAGCCAATGAATGGGGGGGCTGAGCTTCAAGCCCAGGACTGTCTGACCCCCAAGGTTCATCTTGATCCAAGCCTACACTTGTGGACCTCCCACTGCATCAGCATCACCACCTACAGGCCCTGGCTGGGTCTGGGTGTGGCATAAGGATCTGCACTGCTAATAAATTACAGCTGATGCTAATGCTACCGATACCAGGAGCACATATTTGAGACGATGAAGTCTAAATCACTTCATTCTGCCCTGCCTGTGAAGAACTGTGATTATGAACTAGGCAGCAACCGGTCAAACTAGCACTCACACTCTCCCTGTTTTCTGGAGGAGTCTCAATCATTGTACACAAGAGGACAGAGTGCTGTAAGGGCGCTGAATGAAACACAGGATGCCAAGGATTTATAGCCTGCTTTGTGCTGCCACATCAGGCTGAATAATTTATAAACAACAGAAATCTATTTCTTACAGTTCTAGAAGCTGAGAAGTCCAAGGTCAAGGCAATGATAGGTTCGGTTGTTGCGTGTGGCCCTCTCGCTTCTTCCAAGATGGTTCCTTACTGTTGCAGCGTCCAGAGAACACTGCCCCCCAACATGGTGAAGGGCAGGCTCCCAAGGCCCTACCCTAAGACTCCTCTGGAAAGACCTTGGTTACCACACTTACTAGGGAGGAGCTTCATGAACTAATCATCTCTTAAATGCCCTGCCTCCACCACACTGGCAACATCTCAACTTTGGAGATTATTCAAACCACAGTGCCAGGCAAATTTTAATTTCATATAAACACAGTGTTTAAAAGAAACACGGCCCCTATGCCAGTCATGGTGGCACACACCTGTAATCCCAGCACTCAGGAGGGTGAGGCAGGAGGATAGCCACTAGTCAAAGACCAGCCTGAGCTACACAGTTCAAGGCCAGACTGGACTACATAGTGGGATCCTCTCTCTCTCTCTCTCTCTCTCTCTCTCTCTCT